TATTCTTCCACACAGGCTATGGAATTTCCTGTGGTGTTCATTGATAAATGTTTAAGCACCAGAGGTCAGCCTAGTATTTAATTAATTTACAAAGGTATTCCCTCACACTGGGTCTACCTGTGTGCCGGAAATTGTAGTTGCCATTAGCCCCAGGGTGTCAGTTCAGCATCAACAGCTATTTGGTGAATAGTTATCCACTTTATAAATGGGCATTGCCATCTGCTCCTGGAATCTCTTACACTCTATGGAAAGTATGTTTATGCCTGTCCTGAGTTCAGTTGCTTTGTGAATGATCTTGTTAAATTGCTGTGTTTTTTTTCTGATGTCCACACTAAGATAACTTTGGGTAAAACTTGGCATAGCTATTGGATTTAAGAGCTATAAACAGTATTCAGATGACTCTGTCTTTAGTATTTCTGCAAATCAAAATCTGGGGCAAACTTTATTTTTTCTCTCAATCATGTCCTCCTCATTTTCAAAGAAGAGGTAACTGTGTATCTTTTGCTCTATACTTCCCTGATGCTGCCTGTCCTTAACACACTCACAATTGTGATTTCTAGCATAGTTATCAGGCAATGTCTTTGCTCCCTTTCAACATTTCATATCTTTTTGAGGTAATCAACATTTTTTAAATAACCATAATTGGAAAAGCATAGTGTCTGATTGACTTTTGTTGCATCTTTACTGTATAGAAGTGCCTTTGACTTCAGAGGCTCAAAACAGGAGACAGAGCAGGAGCTGATTGATTGAGCATGGTGATTCATGAGCATGGATGGAAGTAGCTGGTTGGTCAGGTGGCACTAGTCTCCAGTAATGGCATAAATCTTCAGGGAAGTTCTGTAATGCCAGGCTGTGTGCCTACCTGTGTCAAATCACATACAGGCTGGCATATATTATAAATCTAGAAGTATGATGAATGAATAAAAATTCCTTTGTTCATTTTTAAAAGATTTCACATAGATGTAGAATATAGGAGAAAAGCATAGATAGCATTGCTCTCCTTTAACCATGCAAAGCTAAATCTGCATGTTTATAAACACAAGATCAAGCACATACAGCTGCTTATATTTTTGGAACAAAAGGGAAAAAAGTGTGAATTGATTGTGTTATCCAGTTTGTGTGTTTTGCCAAATGCATAATGTCATGTAATCACCATTACAGTGTCACACAGAATAGTTTCCCTGCCCTGTTCACCACTCTTTCCTCCCAGCCCTCCCCTCATCAGTGAATGTCCCAGCACTGCTGTGTGGTCTTTAAACTTCATTGTCCCTCCATGGTGCTGACTCCTGCCCATCTCAGTCTCACACCTGCCTGCCTTCTGCCCCACGCCCCACACCTGAGCATGTCCCTGACCTGTAATATTCCTGTGGGTTTTTTTTGTTTTGTTTTGTTTTTGTTTGTTTGTTTTGGGGTTAGGGGGTCTTTTGTTTTTTGCCTTCCATGAACTCATCATTATTCTCATTTATATAGCTGTGTCAATAACTGGCATAGAGATTCATGAATAAGAAATACAGCTGCTGAAGAAAAGGGCTATTTCACATCTCACTCATCCCTCAGTCAGTCCTGCAGATTAGGCATGTTATTCATGTGCCCAGCTACTCCAACCAGGGGCAATTTTTAAATCCTCCTTTTTAAATTCTACACCTTGATTTCCATACATGTAAAACAAATGACAAAACTAAGGCCAATATACTTTCTTCCACTTTTCCTCCCTTCTGCCTTACAACAATCATAGCATTACTTTACATGGTAATGTGTAGAATATTTGTATAACAATGATAATTTCTATGCTTTTGCTCTAATTTGATACAAAAAGAAAACCATCAAAGATTATTATTTAAGAACAATATTCATTTTTATTTCATTCCTGAGTTTATTTGTCTGTATTCTAATTATACCCCTTTCTTTAATTATTGTTTGGAGTTATTAGAATAGTGTATCTACTTTTTTTCTAAGTCTTGTGTGGCTTTGTAGAAAACATATTTGTTGTTTTACTTGTATAGATCCCATTGTTGAGTCACTAATGCTCATCAGTTCATGGCCCATTGTCATCTCTGCCTCAAGCCTTCTCATTGATTGGTTGACGCCTTCTTTTATCCCTGTACCACATTCTGTTCTCCTACTCTTCCCACAGACAAACATGTTAGTGTGTAAAAAATAGTTTTAAGTTCTGTTATTGGAAAAAGTGTCCTATGTCTGAACATATTTTAACCTGTGTGGATGGACTATGTAATCTATCCCAGTTTTGTTTCCTTCTACATATTACGTTTTCACCATGCATTGTGTTTCCAATCCACCTACGGTTCTCTGTGTGCATTTAATCCACTGCTTGGTATACATTGATATTTGTTGCCTATTTTTTTCCCCAATGATGAACATCAAGTTCAAAATCCTATATAATAATAATATGCCGAAACCGGTTTGGCTCAGTGGTAGAACGTTGGTCTGCGGACTGAAAGGTCCCAGGTTCGATTCCGGTCAAGGGCATGTACATTGGTTGCGGGCACATCCCCAGTAGGGGGTGTGCAAGAGGCAACTGGTCGATGTTTCTCTCTCATCGACGTTTCTAGCTCTCTATCTCTCTTCCTTCCTCTCTGTAAAAAATCAATAAAATATATATTTTTTAAAACTCTTATATAAAAAAAGGGTAATATGCAAATCGACCTAACCATGGAACAACCACTCCCTATAATGTGCACTGACCACCAGAGGGCAGATGCTCAATGCAGAAGCTGCCTCCTGGTGGTCAGGGTGTTTCCACAGGGGGAGCTCTGCTCAGCCACAAGCTGAGCTGATGGCTGGTGAGCGCAGCACCCCACCTACATGACAGCACTAAGGATGTCTGACTGCAGCTTTGGCCTGCTCCCCACTGCAAGCAGCCTAAGCCATCAGTCGGACATCCCCTGAGGGCTCCCTGACTGTGAAAGGGCGCAGGCCGGGCTGAGGGACTCCCCACCCCCCAAGTGCACAAATGTCGTGCATCAGGCCTCTAGTGTATTATACACTGAGTGGCCAGATTATTATGCGTTCCACCAGCAGGCAGGCCAGCCAACCGCCCATGTCCCCTCCTCCTGGCCAGGCTGGCCGTACCCCAACCATGTGTATTCATGCACTGGGCCTCTAACATAAATATATATATTACTCAGTGTGTATCTGTGTGTGTATACCAAGCAGTGGATTAAATGCACACAGAGAACTGTGGGTGGATTGAAAACACAATGCCTGATTAACACACACACACACACACACACACACACACACACACACACACACATTGAGTAGCCAGATTATTATGTATTCAGAGATCATCATAACTTGGCCACTCAGTGTGTATTTTCTTTACATTTTTTTGCATTTGAATATATTTATTGTAAGGAGTGGCTATAAGATCAAGCCTCCTATGGAACTGTGGCAGAGCCACAAACAAGTCTCAGCTTGGCAGGCAGAGCCCTCTTAGCATAATTAAGCTCAACCTTATAGCCTCCCTAGTTCTTTCCTAGGTAGGTAATGGGCTGTGGGAGGTGCAGCAAGTGCTGCCAAAACAAGGTGAAACTCACAAGAACATTGTAAACATGTTTACCACTACCCTTGTTTTGATCTCACTATAAAATAAAGCCTCAGCTTGCAGACTGGATTTTCTGTGTCCTCATCCAGGCATTGGAGATCCACAGAGCCCCAGCTATACCCTCTTTAATTCTTCACTGCCCCTCCTCAGGCTCACCGAACTCTTGGCTGTGCTGGCGAGGCACAATTTATAAACCCTTTTAATCCAGTTTATACCTTCTGCTTGAATGTTCAAACACACCTTATGTGTATGAATTATATAGGTAATATCCAGATGGACTTGCATTAAATTTCAAGGACTTATATGAAATCTATACAATTATTTGCATATTAACATCAATCCTTTGACCAAGACAAAGAGAGCTTACTCATAAGTTTAAGCCTTTTAGATAGCAAAATAAAGTTTTTAGAAGCTTACAACATAGAGTATAAAAGCCAACATTGGAATAAAAGTATAATGACTGCAAAAGGACTCTTAGATGCCTTAGTCTGGTAATAAATTGTAATTATACATACTTTAAGACATTATTTTATTAAAATAAACAATATCCTTTGGAACTTTTTCTTCTGGGATATATGAATGATAAAAAAACACTTTTTAAATTCTATTATTGAATGCATGCATGCCTTGGCATTTCCCCACAAGGACTTGAGGTATCTTTCTGTACAGACCATGTACCCAAAGGATAATAGAAGAGAAATGGGAAATCGTTTCTTTGTAGAATAGTAGTTTTCAAATATTCTATTTAAAAGGAAACATTGTGGGTTCAATTGAGCATTACATTTAACTTTAATCTTCTTTTAAATGGAAACACTTGAAAGTTGGTAGATTACAAAAGTTTTCATAATCATAATGGAAGAAGCATAATAGTTTGTTAGGGCAGGTACTCTGTTTATGGTAGAGGTACTCACCGAGCAGCTCCTAGGCATCTGTAGATATAAAAAACAGGTTAACCACTATTAGGGTGAACATTGAATGCTGAAATTTATAATCTCAGAAAAAGCCGAGCTTTTTATTTAAGAACCAATATTTACACTTGAGTATGTGTTTGAGAAAGGCTCTAGAATTCTGCATCACATAGTGCCACACCTTTAGTTTGTAGAGCCAATTTAGTTTCTGAAATTGGCAGGTGGCATCTGATAGGAACTGTTATCTCTGTGTGATTCTGGACACATTTAATCTCTGCAAGCTTCAGTTTCCTCATGTAAAAGTGATAACTAACATAAGCTACCTTGTAAAAGTGTCACTAGGATTAAGTCAGGCGAAAGCTCCTAACATTAGTCAACACATACTATACTATAGACATTTGTTATTAGGATTAAGTATGATAAACCATGCTCCTAGAATGTACCTGGTGCTTCCAACCAGGTATTCGAATTTCATTAAATCTCTCTTTCTCTTCCCTGTCTTAATGAACTTCCCTTCTCTGTTTCAGGGAAAGCACAAATTGCACGTAGACACTGGAATGGAAGGTGATTGGTGTGGCCTTATTCCTGTTGGACAGCCTTGCAATCAGGTTACAACGACAGGCCTGAAGTGGAACCTCAGTAAGTAAATGCCTTGCACAAAGTGAGGCTTGTTTTCTTTCTTTTTTAAATTTATCTCTGGGATATATCTAGGAGTGGAAATGCTATGCCTCTGTTTAACCTTTCTTGGAACTGCCAGATTGTTTTTCAAGGTGGCTACATCATTTTATGTTCCCACCAGCAATGTATGAGGGTTCCGGTTTCTCTACGTCTTCATCAACACTTGTTATTATCTACTTGTTTATTACACACTTTATTCTTATCTCATTATGGTTTTTGTTTGATTTTTCCTGGTAACTAATGACATTGAACATATTTTCAAATGTTTATGGACCATTTGTATATTTTGTTTGAAGTAATGTCTGTGCAGATCTTTTGCCCATATTTTAGTCACATTGTTTCTTATTTTAGGTTGAGTTGTGAGATTCCTACATATATTCCAGATACAAGTACCTTATCAGATATATAACTTGAAAATATTTTCTCATAATTTTTGGCTTATCTCTTGATTTTCTAAAATCTCATTAACTAAATTCAATTAATTTTGATAAAGTCCAGTTTTTCCATTTATTGATTGTACTTTCAGTGTCAAACCTAAGAACTCTTCAGGATTTTATGTATTTGAAACCTAGTTTACTTTCCCAGAGAGGTAACTATTCTAACTCATGTAGCAAGTTCTTTTCATAATCAGACCTCTGATATTTTATAAGATTAGCTAGCTTACTAAATTTTACAATGTTTTCCCAGTACTTACTAACTGTATTAAGTTCTAGTTCTACTGCAAGTATCTGATTTAAAAAAAAAAAAAGATAAATGAAGTAGATCTATTCATGAAATAATGCTGATACCAAAAGAGCCATCAGGCCTTGTGAATTAACTCTAATCTCTTTAAGTGTCACAGTAATTTAATCAAAGAGCCTGGCTGATTACCAAAGGGCTTATCCCCTGATTGACCAATAACGCTATAGTTATAAAAAGTAAAGTAGCAAACCACGTTGTCATTCTTTTGTAGCATATAAAGCTTTCAGGTTCCCAGGAGGAAATAAATATTTCAAGTAAGAAATAATTTGAAGATGAAAATATACCATAAAAGAACTGTCCATGAGCCATTGCTGAGACAATCAGGGGGAGTTAAATAGTCAAGTGTCCAGAGAAGTCATCAGGTTTGAAAGGAGGGTGAGAACAGATCTTCATTGTACAGAGTATGGGACAGGCCTTGAAGCCGGTTAGCTAAACTGACATGACCTCTCATAAGAAACTTTCTGGAAACATTCCAGTAAAAAACAGTCATACTCTTTAAGAGTTCCCATTCTTTCCAAGGGCTGTTCCTACAGTGGTGAGCTTCTGCCTGAATTGGGGAGTGGCCTTACTTTTCAGAGCTGACACCAAGATAGGAGGAGCATTGAGCAAAGTAAAGTGAGTGTTGGCCATCTGGGGGCAGTAGCCTCGCCTCCTTTATTGTACAGTAATGGGAGAGAGTCATAAGATTAGACATGCTTCTTCTTCGGGGCTCTTTAGTACATCCTCTTACACACTGTGTACCACGGTCATGCACATATCCTAATTCTGATTCATGATGTTTATTCCAGGATGGGGGACTTTGATATGATGAGGGTAGGGCTTTTAACCTTCCTACCTGGATTAATGTTTGATCCTGCCTAAATGCTACACACTATTACTTATTTATATATTTACAAATTACTTTGACTTTTGAAATCATTTTTCTCTACAACTTTTTGAAAATAATTAGGAACTTCATGAAGTATTCAAAGTAATAGAGTTGAGACACAATGTTTAATTTAATCTCTGTTAAAGGTGCTAATTAACGGGGTCTCCCAATAGGTGATATAAACTCATTAAAAAGTAATAAAAATTACATGAAATGGCATAATGTTGACTTGAAGAGAAGTAGAAAGATTTCTTTACCTGTGTTAGAGCCACCAGAAATGGTGTTATCTGACAGACCCTTGAGTAGAAGGAAGAGGGTTGTCCCCTCCTCGTCCTTGTCAGTCTCAAGAGAAATAATTCAAACAAGTGATAGACAGCAGCATTATAGTAAAGCAAATTTATTAAAGAAGTAAAGCAAGTAAACTTATTAAAGAAGCAAGGCAGGCAAATCTATCAAAATACATATGGCATAAAGTGCAGATGGGCTCTCAGCTTATCTGAGGAGCGAGCCTGATAGGGGTTCAAAGGGTTTTATTCTTTTTTGTCTATAGGTTTGTGGGATTTTTGTTGTTGTTTGTTTTTTAATTCTTTATTGTTTAAAGTATTACATATGTCTCCTTTTCCCTCCATTGACCTCTCCCCAGAGCACATGTTGTCTGTGTCCATGATTTATGCTTACATGCATGCTTATAATATAATTAGTTGTTCTCCTACTCCCAACTCCTGCCTTGCCTCTGAAGTTGGACAGTCTGTTCTATGTTTCTATGTCTCTGGATCTATTTTTGTGCATGTTGTTCATTATATTCTAGAAATGAGTGAGATCATGTGATATTTATCTATCTTAATATAATGCTCTCCAGGTCCATCCATTTAATTGCAAATGGTAAGAGGTTTTTTTTTTGTTGTTTTTTTTTGTTTTTTACTGTATATAGGTTATAAGATTCCTCTCCCAGATATCTTGGTACAGATTAGCTCACAAGGTCCCCCTTTTACTTTTTTGTAGCTTTTGGGGGGAATGTTTGTATATACACCGTGTTATCTTAGCAAATCCTAAGATGGCTGACTTCTTTGTTCAGTGGGTGAGAATAACTCCTCTTTCTTCCTTCCCACTTCACCCCCACTTGCATTAGCATTTCCAGGGTGATTAAAACCATGTGTTCTCTGCTTAGGAAGAAGAGATAGTAATCATTTGTTCTCAAGTGTCCTTGGTTAGGGAAAGTAAGGTCTTCCTGGAAGTTGCCCAAACTGCTTTTTCATGTTCCACTTGCCCTGGAATTTTCCTAGCTTCTTACTATCCTGTTACACCTGGAAGAGCCCCTGCTCTTGTCTGTGAAAGAGGAGCCCTGAGGTCAATGTCATTTCTGTCATTTCATCATTCACACCTCAAAAGTGACTGGTTGGGGCTGGGCCTACATAGGAGAAAGGTGATTTAGTAACTTAGTCAGGGCCTGCCACTTTTTGGGTCAAGGAGATAAGCAAGGCCTTAAGGAAGCATATCTGAGTCCTCCTCAGGTTTGGTTTTTTCCAGACTACACTTATTCTAAAAATCTAATGCCACAAGTTCTAAAAGTGGTCCAACTTACCTATTTCAATTTGTAGTATCTCCCATCACATTCTGTCTTTTAAAAAAAAAAAAAAAAAAAAAAAAAAAAAAAGGTGATAGATGCCTATGTATCCTATCACCCAGAAGTGAATCTTTATAAATTTGTTGATTACAATATTTCATTTCATGATGGTGTGCTGAGAACATTCTGTGATGTGTCTGGTTCAAGATTTTCTCAAGGATGTATTTAGTTGGCACTAAAAGAGCTACTTCCTAGATCAGTGCACGCTCACCTTTAGAGTACACTCCATATTGCTCTGACAGTGATTCTAACAATGTGACCTTGTCTGAGGGACATTCAGAGTGCCCTGTTCCAAGTCTCTACCCAACTCTTGGTATTGTTAGCTTTGATCTTGTTTGCTGATCTGATCAGTGTCATTCATACCTCCATATCTGGTTGTGGACTCTGCTGGAGAGGGAAAGTGCCTTCTCTAGTTACAGGTCATGCAGGTGTCCTTGTCAGTGGATTGCTACTGCCTTTTGCCTATTAGCCTTTGGCCAACTTAGTTTATTCCTTATTAACTCTTAGAAGTTCTTCAGACCCTTATTATCATCCACCTGGCTATTCTTTGCCTTTCCCATTTGTGTGTGGCCTTTTCATATCACAGAGACTGTAATTAAAGGTGTAGTCACATTTATGAATCTTTTTCTTTAAGGTTTGTACTGTCTGTGTTTTAAGTCCTCTTTCTATTTCCCATGGTCATATAGATGTTCTCATATTTTAGTTTTATGTTTTATTTTTAGGTATTTTCTTTCACTTTAAATTGATTTTTGTGTGTATGACATGAGTCAGAGATCCAATTTTGTTTTCATTACTGATAACCAGTTGCCCCAGCATCATTTATCATCCTTTCTCCAGTGATTTGCAATGTACTGTAAGTTTTACTATTCCTGAGTATGTCTCTTGAATCTCTATACTGTTCCCTTGCTTACATTCTTCTTGTACTGATACCACTCTGCCCTAAAATAATACATCTATTATCTTAGTTTTGGAGGTCAGAATCTATAATGGGTTTTAGGGGACTAAAATCAAAGTGTTGGTAGAGCTGCAGTCCTCCTGGGGGTTCATTCCAGTGGAGAATCCTTTTCCACCATTTCCAGCTTCTAGCAGGGGTGGGGAACCTTTTTTCTGCCAAAGGCCATTGGGATATTTATAATATTATTCATGGGCCATACAAGTTATCAACTTAAAAATTAGCCTGCTATATTTGGTCACATGTTTAATTAACTCACCCCTAAGCCTTGGCAGGGCCAGCCCTAATGATATCATGGGCCTTATGCAGCCCTTAGGCTGGATGTTCCCCATCCCTGCTCTCGAGGCTCCCAGACCTCTCAGCCAGGGATTCCTTCCCCAGTCTTCAAGGCTGGCAGCCTAATGTAATCACATCCCTTTGTGGTGTCTGCTTCCATTGCCTCACCTTTTTCTCTCTCACTGTTTAGGAATGTGTTGATCCTGGGACAAACCTGGATAATCCAGGATAACCCCATTTTAAGATTTTCACTTCAATTACATTTGTAGAATCCCTTCTGATATGTAAGGAATTTATTCTCAGATTCCAGGGACTACAATGCAGACATTTGGGGGGGGGGGGGGGGCAGACCATTATTCAGCCTACTTAATAGCAGGTCTGTAATTGATGAATTAAATAATTTTCTGAAATAATACTTATTGAATATAATTATATTGAATCTTTCGAGTGACTCTGAAAAATGATGTATGGAGGTTGTTTCTATTGTTATTGAGAAACTG